CAGCGCCCCCGATGAGAGGCGCAGCATCCTGAGGCTCCATGCCGGAGCCACGTTGTTCGGCCTTCGAAATGTCACCAATGATGGCAGGGCTGAGGACGTTCGAGGCGACGGCGAGACCGGTTCAGGGCGCGGGCGGCGATGAGAGAGTCGACGACCTGGCTGACCGGCAGCCAGAACGGTGGCGGCGATGAAGAGCACGTTGCACACGTTCATGACGGGGTAGCGGCCCGTAGACCTCGGACAGCGGCGCAAATCAGAAAGAGGACCAGCAGCCTCTCCGAGCTCCCAGATGGTCACGAGCAGGGCGCTCGCCGAGTCGTTGGGGCGTCCATTGTCCGAGCTCGCTGACGATCTGATGGGCGACAGGCACCCACGGAGATGCAGGTGAAGGTGACTGTAAAGGCCATGCAGGCGAGCAGGGCCACGATGTTTCGCTTGAACGAGGCGGGCCACTCGCGAGGGTTGTCCGAGTCGCCGTTGGGATCAAAGTCGAACACGGGCTTGGGATCATCGAGGCACGCGAGGGGGTCCTGTGGCTCAGCCCGGGGGCCGAGGAGGGGCTGCGTCTCGGCCATGGTGCGGTGACTGACGGTGTTGAAGAAGGGTCGAGTCGAGGGCAACGATAGGTTGCTCGCAATGCTAGGCTGGCAATGCTAGGCGGGCAATGTGGAAGGCAGGATAGAAGGTGTAGAGATGGAGGTGCTCGTGGTCGTCACGTCTCGAGCAGAGCGGCGGGGCCTAGCGGGCCTTTAGCGGACCCTTGGAGCGAGATAAGACTTTTTTTTTCCATTATCACGCTTGTCTCGGTTCGGCCTCGGGTTGGTCAATCACCGCTGCATGATTCAGCCGGAGTCGCCGGCCGCCGCCGCCGGAACCTGCACCTCATGACCGCAAGTAGCCGCGCCCTACGCAACCCCCCCGCGCGCCCTGTGGTTGACGACTTGTCTTGGGGCGTCACACTCATCGATTGAGGAAGAGTGCGCCGGGCGCCCATTTCATCAACAGCCCAGACGAAGACTTCCCAATGCCAGAATCAATCATCAATTGCACGACAGACAGACTGAACCACGCTTCGAGAATCCCTCTGCCAGACGACCCAACCAGTGCTACCCCAGAATGAGGGGCAGATCAATGGCATCATTCGGAGGCAAGATGGCTCCATGTTGAATTTGTAATGCGCGCGCCGCGCCTCATGGACCAGTCGACCTGCGCAGTGGACTCTTCTGCCAACAGGTGCTTGAGACACTCTGGATCGTGCGAGAAACCTGCTCTGGGCAAGACGCCAAGTTTGGTCCAGTGGTGCTGTCTCACTGCCACGAGGTGACCCGTCCCGAAACCTCTCAGCCGAGTCAACCGCTCGTGAAGAGCCAAGTAGACATTCGAGATGGGTCTTGCTTGGCCTTTGGGCAATGCAGTGTAGATGATTGAGTTGCAACAGCACATGCTGCTTTGCCGGTCTAATTTTTTTTTTCTTCTCTGCATGTTCGCAAGACACGCCATGCATATGCAACTGACTACGCAGTCTGTTGCATCCAGGAAGAGGCGAATTCACATGGTTCCCTTCACGAACACCTGCATGTCACAATTCTCTTCCACAGTCCCGTGAGCACCGTTGATTAGACCCCCGTCGTGTTGGCTGGCAAACTCTGAATAGACGAGCCGGTCATGGACAGACAAATTTCAACATGTCTGGCAGACCTAGATCGCCCCGTTCACGATGCAACATCTGCAAGAGTGGACATTCCCACAACCCTGCCTCATCCACTCTCGATACGCGGTGGCCACGTCGCAGAACAGAAACATGGCTGCGCAAAAGCTTGACGGGCACAAAGAATGACAATGCTACCCTGATGCTATAACCGGATTCATTCGATTCTCGACACTGGACCCATGCAGCAATCATGGCATGCACAACGCGGACGCTGGAATCCGAGACAAAATCATCACCAGGTCAAGTACGCATGTAGTAGGCAATGAGATGCATTATAGCTCGTCTATGTGTGTACAAAAACCCCAGTTGCAAGCTCTAATAAACCAGATCCGCTAAGAACCAAGACCGAGACCCACGAATCCAAGATCCAAAGAAAGACATGTTGCTTTTCTCGTTCACCAAGAGCGCAAGCGAGACGCTTAAGCAAGGGTGAAGAGGCCGGCGACGAGCGCCAGGGCGGCGACGGCGACGGTCTTCTGGAGCGAGGCGGCGGAGGACTCGGGAACGGTAGAGGGGGAGGTGCCCTCGGTGGAGGCAGGGTTCTCGGCAGAGCCCGAACCAGAACCGCCGTTGGCACCGGAGCCGTTGCCGGAGCCCGACGGAGAGGCCGAGCCGGATCCGGAGCCGTTGCCAGAGCCCGAGGGGGAGGCAGAGCCCGAACCAGAGTCGGAGCCAGAGCCGTTGCCACCGGAGATGGCAGACGTCTCCGAGGCGGAGCCGCTGCCAGTGGCAGTGGCGTTGCTGGAGCCGGAAGCGGTGGCAGCGGAGGTGGACTGGGCGGCAGCGGAGGAGGAGGACTCGGCCTTCTGCTTGTCGGTGTCGAAGGTCTTGGGGCAGGTGAGGTCGAAGAGGGGCTTGCCGCCGACAGACTCGGTGATGGCGAACTTCATCTTGTTGTCGGGGTTGGAGTCACGGAGAGTGTACCAGAAGGTGGGGGTCTTGCCGAAGAGCTGACGGCAGCCGACCTCATTCCAGTAGTACTTGGCGTTCTGGACAGAAGCCTCGGCCTCATCCCAGTCGGGACCAACAGCGGGCCAGCCAGTCTCGGTGACCCAGACGGGCTTGCCACCAGCAGCAGCGATGGTGATGTCGTAAGCCTTGTCGAAAAGGTGACCGGCGTTCTTGATGTCGTTGCCCTTGTCGTTCTCGTAGTAGGGGAACTCGTTCACACCGAGGAAGTCAACAGCGTCAATGACGGCCTTGTTGGTGCCGTTGGACCAGGAATCCCAGGTGTCGACGTGACCGACGGGGACGGAGCTGAGGGCAGAGCCCTTGAAGGCATCCTTGAAGTCCTTGATGAAGCCAACAATGGCGTCGGGCGAGTTACCGGCACCAGACTTGTTCTTCACACCGGTGACAGAGACACGGTAGAGATCCTCGGAACCGATGGAGACACCGATGACAAGGTCGGTCAGCTTGGAGCCGAACTTCTCGACGGCCTTCTTCAGGGCAGACACCTCCTTGTCGATGTTGTCAGTGCCCGAGGCCCAGACACCGAGCAGGATGGACGTCTTGGTGTCAATGGCCGCCTCGAAAGCCTCAATAGGGTCATCCTGGGAGTAAGCCTGGATGTTGGTGTAGAGACGGACGGCGTTGAAGTTGCCGGGGGCATTGGGCAGGCTCTGGGCAGCCTTGAACTCGGCCTCGAAGTCGGCCTTGAACTTGGCAGAGCGGTCGGCCAGGGTGGCGCCGGAGTTGAAGCCAAGGTAGTTCTGGGCAGAAACGCTGACGGCGAGGGCGCCGGCAGCAAGGGTAGCGGAGACGCGCATCGTGACGGTTGAATTTGATGAGCTACTGTAGAGAAGCGGAAAATAAGAGGTTGTACGAAAGGTCGTGTCCCGGGGTCGGTACGACAGACGAAGAAGTCGTGCAAAGTTTGGTCAAAGGAAGAGCGAATGTGGTAAGGCGCCAAAAAGAGTGAGGCGTGCCTGGAATGGGTTGCTGCAAAGAAATGTCGAGGTCCCGAAAGAAGGAGGCTTAAGTTCGGGGGAAAGTTCGGGGGAAGCGAGTGTGAAGAGGGAAAGGTGATGTTTTGACGTTAAAGACAATAGACAGGGGGGCAAGGGGAAGCAAGGAGGAGAGAATGAGGGCGAAATTAAGGGGAATGGACAGGGGTAGGGCTTGGCACGTGCCCTTCGTATCCGTGCCGGGTGGCCCGTCGATCTGTCACCAGCTATTGGACGGGAGCGTTCTAAAAGGGGAGATGAGGTGGAGCGGCTTACGTAGGGGCCGTTCGCCGCATGTGGTCTACGTGCATAATATGAATCGACGAGGAATTCTCCGACCGGCTACCTGTTTAAGCCATGGACGACGTGGTTTTCCGATCGGGCTTGAGTAATGGCCTGGACTGGTCGATGTTGCGCTGAACCTGATGATGGTACCTCGACTTGCTCGTCCACCTGGTCCCCTGCCGCGTTCCTGCCTTGGATGCCTGGTGTGCCTGGTTCCTGCCCAGTCTTTGCTTGGTTGGCGCCAGCTCCAGCCGTCGCCGCTGCCTCGTTCTGCCCTGTTCTGGTCCCGCTGTGCCCTGTTTCTGCCCTGTGCCTCCCCGTTCGGTCGCTGGCGCCTTCCACTCGTCAGTGCATTCTTTCCGTCGGGGCCTCTGCCGCTTCCACAAATGGCCCTGCCTCCCCCTCCCCCCCCTGCCCCTGCCCCTCTATCCACCAGTCAGTCAACACGAACGCGGGATGCAACGAGAAGGACGTGCACCACAACAAAACAAGCCAACACTGCCTCACTGCCAACCTCGGATGATCCGAGGGATCAATGCCGCCTGGGTACAACGTACCAGCACACAGAAAACTATGCATTGCGTTACTGGTCAGTCAGAGACCAACATGAGTATGCTTATTATTCACTGGTCAGCCGCCTTTCTCCTACGCTGGTGAATCCCCCTGACCGATCAGCAGGTCCCGATTTGAGCCTGTAAGGCCGCCTTCGCACCGCCGTCCCAGCCCAAGACATGATCCAGCTCACTCTCGGTTCAGAGACCATGGCGTTTTCCCGAATCGCTGCGCGCTGAGTCAATTGACGTACTGACGCAAAGGTGGTGTGCTACTCGCTGACGTAGCGCTCGAAAACATCGCCGTAGAACCGCTGCCCCACCTCTCTGTGGCTTCTCACCTTTGTTCGGAGCTGACTCTCGCCCCACGTCTCGTACCCGCCCCTCAAGAAGGCCGAGTCGACGTCCCGACCCTCCGCCGACTCGACCCCTCCACCGTCGAACCGCTCAAAGTGTCCCCGCAGTGAATGGACGGCCTCTTCTCTCGTTAGGCTGCGCCGCACGCCCTGAAAAAAGGGCACGCTGAACCGTTCCTCCGATCCGCTGAGTACCCGGTGCGTTGTCGCGCGGCATACGCCATGCGTCACGACCTCGAACGCCTGTCCGATGTTCACGACATACGTGCCGGCAAGAGGCGGCACGTCGACCCACGTGCCAGTCTGGTTGAGAGCCTGCAGGCCGCCAACCTCAGGCGATGCCTGTAGCAGGAAGGTCCACCATCCGGACGAGTCCTTGTGTGGGCCCACGCCCTGGCAGTGTGTTCCATCCGCCTGTGCTGGGTAGTGCACTGTTTTGAGACGATGTTGGTCGGAGAGGAATGGTAGGAACGTCTTTGCTGGGAGGTCGAGTGCCTCTGCAACGAGGCCGAGAAAGCGTTCGCCGAGGATCGTGAGCTCGGCAATGTACGCTTCTACCACTAGTCGAATTGACGGCAGGGCAGGTGGGTAGTTGTTGGGTCCGCGCAACCGCTCAGCAAGTGGTTGTTCAAGAGTCCAGGTTGCTGCCAGTTCAGTCGCAAACTCAAACTGCTCGCGGTGGTCAGAAGCACCGGCAGTTGTCTCGGTGTCCACCTCGCTGTATCCAAGGAAATGAGGCGAGCCGGCAAGCGCCGCTTCTGCCTTTTGATCGGACGTCAACCCAAAGAGTTTGGGCAGAGCTGCCGTGAGATTTGCTATGACAGTATCTGGAACACCATGGTTCGTAACATAGAGGAAGCCCACGTCGAGCAGCGCATGTCGAAGCTCTTCGAGCAGCCTAGGTTTAGTGCTAGGTGACTCTGCGAGCGCGAGGTCCAGAAGAGGGATTGAGGTGAAGGCCATGGTCCGTCAAGATGATCGATTGAGTGGTGCTATTTGCTCCCGCCACTTACCTATACAGCCGGCTTGGCCAAATCAACCTGACTTGCGGGCGTTCTATGCAGGTACGAATTTTCTCTGACAAGCATCTCCAAGCCATCATTGCGAGGATGTTCCTGGATCTTGTTGCACACAGCAGGTGCGGAGACTAATCACGTCATGCCCAACCAGCCGGAGGGTTTTCCTCTACCTTCAGGGCGCTCAAGTCACGTGGCAATAGATGACGGCCAATCGACCATACAATCTGTCTTTTCGGGCGAGATGAGGACAGCCAGACCTCATGGATGCCGATATTTCGAGTCCATATCACGCTCTCTTGCCCGCATCTTGCAGGGTGTGCAGTGCATTGTGGTAGGACAGCAGGCCCTGCAACGGTTACCATCTCAATCCGAAGCTTTAATATTCCTCGCACTATGAAGGACAAATAAATTGGCCATGTTCATATAAGTGGTATCCAAGGTGGAGCAATATAACATGCTTATCTTGCTAGGTCGACAGCATGAGGTCTTCCATGAGCAGCTTCTCGCTCCGTGGCCGCCTCTTCACCCACGTCGCTTCCCCGACAGCGGGCACGACTGCTCCCTCTTCTACCATGGCCCAACCCGGTGCATGCTCATGGCGTTCCATGTACCGGAAGATGACTTCGGCGCCGCCCTCTTCCAAGGCGTACTCCGCCGCCATAGTCGCGCCCATTGCTCCGCGTCGCTCCCTTCGACCGCATTCGCCTTCTCCACGTCTCGGTTCCGCACGGCGAGCAAATGCAGCGCACGTGTGCTCCAGAGCCCATCCTGACCGGGATACTCACTTAGCATGACGACGGCTTCGTCCCGAACCACGGCGTCGCGGCAAAAGAGCGCCGTGCCAAAGAGCCACATGGACAGCCCGCACTGCAGGGACGTGCCGTACGCGGGCTTGTCGGTCGTCAGACGGGCGGCGCGCAGCGCGGCCGAGGCGGTGGTGAGGAATTCGCGGAACAGGGGTGTCAGCGCCCGCACCGAGTCGATGCTGAGGAACTGGGGCGCGTTCTCGAAAAGGGTTACGCCGAGGTACTGGAGGCGGAGGTGGAGGGCGCGGAGGTAGTCTTTCGAGTCGTGGGATTGCAGCATGATTCTTTGGAAGAGGGGAAGGAAGGCGCCCTCTTAGGGGTCTGCATCTTTTCGTCCATTGTCGGCATAGAAGGCAAGGACTTGTGGGGTGGCCTAGGATCTGGTGGATGGAGGTGTTGATCGCGGCTGCGTCGGAGCAGCCGATGACACCCGGAGGATAGCACCAAGTCATGTATGAGGGGACCGATGGCGGACTGAGCCCGGCGGAGATAGTTCCAGTGATGCTCGTATTCGTCGAGGGTGCCGAAGACTTCGGGCACATCATTCGTGACTGTAGGTTGCCATAGCTGGCAGAGGAGGTGCATGAACGACTTCTTGGAACGAGACTCTGTGGCGAAGACCTTTCGCAAAGTGTGGCAGTGGCCTGCAGTTACCAACGCGACCGGTGAGAATGTGCCGTGCCTGAGCAGCGAGGGTGAAAAAAACATTGGTCACCGCACCCAGCAAAGGTCCTGGATTGGGGGCCAGGCTTCTGATGTGAGCGTTCGCTTCTTGGCTCGTAGTAAGCGTCAGAAGGAGCGCGAGGCCATGGTTTACATGATTCAATGCAGCCTTGATGTTACCCCGGAGAGTCTCAAAGTAGAGAAGCATAACGGACAGGAAGATGGTGTCCTGCACCGAGCTGCTGCGGCTTTGGAGCTTCAGTGCGTGGCAAAGGTACGTAGTAGCGTGAAGTTCACGAGGGCTGTAATTCGGAGGCCCCCGGCCCGCTGGAGTCAAGGGGAGTTCGCTAGAAAGCGTTCCTCGTCCTCCCAGACTCACCGCGCCGATGGCCATGGCAGCATGGCGAAGCGTGTCATTGGCGCGAGCGAGCTGTGGCAGCAAAACACTCCAGAGGTCTCCGTTGGATGCCGCAACATTCCATGGGGCCTGCGACAACTTGACAAACTCGTTGAAATACTTCAGTCCTGTGGCATCATGGAAGTCGAGAAGATCGGGATCGAGAAGGGTCTGTTGCAACATATTTGCCGTCTTAGCCACAACGGCAACGCGACCGCGCTGTTTGGGGATCTTTGGCGGGGCATAGCCTTCGCAGTGCCCTCGGATGGCGAGGCATTTGCGGCAATGTGGCTTGGTCTCGTCGCACTTTACGTGTCGCTTCTTGCACGTTATGCATCCGGTCTTGGCCTTTGCATTGCTGACACGCGAGCGCTTGGGTTTAGTGAGGCTCACGGCTTGGTCATGGCTGGTGGGGTCTGGGTTTGGCGCGGTGCTGTAACGAATGTCAGCCTATGGCGCGAGTGTGAAGTGTGAGCCGGCCTACCTGGGGACCCGTCTCAGAGGCGAGTTGATCATGATCTTATTATATGTGATCAGCTCATTCCATGACACTTTTTGTAGAAGGAGAAAACGTGTAAGCGTCGTGAGGTGACGGTGATGCTGACAAAGGGATTGACGTCAGGAGAGTAATCGCATAAGGAGATATCGCGAGCAGACGGCTACCCATCGACCTCTTTGTTGCAACACCTCGTTAAATGCTCATCCGTTCAGCCCTTTCGTTCACTTTGTCGCTGCTGGGAAACATGGATTCAAGCCATGAACGCATCTCATTGGCTTCTTGAAACCCAAGTTAGGATAATTTGAACCGAGCCTGGCGAGCCACCAGGCCGGAACTCGGCTCTCGTTTCCGGAACCAATCTAGTGCCCCGGACACCTTGAGGTTGCTGATATTCCGATTCCTAGTGTCCAATCTGCTGAAGCCTCGTACCTTCTTTAATTCGAGTATGGCGGCTGAAGTCTGGCGCGCACCTGCGTGTTTCAAGATTCTTATCTGATCACTGATGTTCTGGAATCAATATGTGAGTTTGCCATACGGACATCGAAGCCGACGACACAAGTGTTTCTGAACCCAGAAACAGCGGGATCGCTACGCTGGATAATGGGTTAAATATGCCTTGGCATGCCATGAAATGTTGCTTTTCCATGAGCTGATACTCGAGAAAATAGGGATGTAGGACTTTGAATGATGTGATTCCAGAACTTTCGGAATGACCAACCACCTGCCCTCTGGCTTGTTCAAGTTCAAAATTACAGATTCTTTGCCTAAAAGAACTCTTGTTGTACTCCAGATTTGGGAATTGTAGACCAAACATGGGTGGTTTGATCTATACTGATCGAGACGACCTTTTTGATGAGATCACTTGTGATATCCGGTGAAACGATCTATTCACAGGGCTCATTCGGCTAGACAGCTGTCTCGAACACTACATAAATCCAGAGAAGTATGAGTCAAAATCCGAAAGATTGAAGATATTAAACTTAATCCAAGTACTAAAATTCAATTTGAGAAGGAGCTGTCGATGGCGTCCTGCTATAGGGTTCTGAGGGGAATAGAACTCTGGATGAAGAAATGCGCATTCTGGTCACTCAGGCTATAGATTCAAATGATCGACTGCAACAGGCGATGCTGGCGCGCAATCGTTGAGCAAAGATGTTTTGATCCTACTAGTTCAGGTCTGGAGCAGTGTAAGCCGAAGTATCGCGACTCCAGGCCTCAAGGAATCCAATCCAGGGATGGAAAGCGAAAGCTGGGGATTTATTGAATGGGAGCACCAGTGGAAACCGCGATGCTCAGACAGACCAGGCACAGGTGTACAATGCTGTCACACCCGACTGGCGTGAAGCGACCCCACAAATTTACAGGCTATATAATGAACCCTTACAGATCACTGTTCAACTTCCGAACTGGTGTAATGGCTAACATTTGACGCTCTCACCGTCAGGCTCAGGGTTCGATTCCCTGGTTCGGAATTGTTTTAGCGATTGCCAGCGCTGTCGGGCTCGTCGAGCTTGTGTTTTTTTGCCTTGGTAGTTAGTCACTCACCTCAAGAACGCATTGAAGCAAAAACAGCACAGAGAATTCCAAGTCCTGCGTGGCAACGACTTGCGCGGCTGTCTCACGGTATCGAGCAATGGCATGGTGTCTCACAGCGACTCGCACCGAATTCTACAGGAGCCGTTAACCCTCTACTCTACACACACAAATTTAACGCCCATATCGGAGGCGCCGTTGGCGCATTTTCCCACCGTCGCCGTACGCCGTTCCAACCACACCGTAATAGTACAAAGCGTAGCCGTCGTCCGGCGGACCACGACCGTCACCTAGACACCTTAATCCCGCCCCTCGTACCCGCTTTGGTAAGCAAACTGACGCTGGTAGTCTCTGAGACTCGACCACAGACGCAACTCTTCTTCCTCGTCTTGCGGCGTCATGTTGGAATCGTTTCCGTGACCAGCATGACCTGGTCCAGTGCCCTCAAGCTTGATCAAGATGTCGATGAGCCGCGAGAGTGCAGCCTCGGACTTGACTGCCACGGGACCCTTGCGCTCGGGGGCATCATTGAGAAGGGTCGACGCCACTTGGCGCACCTTGTTGATGAGCGATCCTCCGTTCGGCTCCATGTTTCGCTGCGGGATTGAACCGAGGACGTGCAGCAGATCCTGGACGATAAGCTCGCGCTCGGCCGTCATGAGCTCAAAGATGCGCTCGGCCTCAACATCTTCAGCCTCTTTAGCGGCCTTGCCCTCGATCGTGCTCTCGTCGATGATTGAACGATTGGGATCTGCGAGGTAGACATCGCGCAGGTTGAAGTAGAGCTCAACAAAGTAGGACCGTGTCGCGAGCTGCGACACCAGAATGTTAGCCTTCTGAATGTCGTACTGCAGCTGGCGCCGCCGTTGCGTGTTGCTTTTGATAACGTTGCGGATGTCGTTCGCCGGTTGCGCATTGGGGTACGCTGGAGGCATGTATTGAAGATGCCCATCGTCAAAACCACCGCCGAAGACGGGCTGATCAATCTGCGATGTGAGGCGCAGCTCAGTCGGGAGACGATCGATGATGTTCTTGGCAGCGACGAGGGCGTCGCGCAGCATGGCGCGCTGATCGGGCCACGGGAGCGTGCTCATCCCATACACAAGCTCCACACTGACGATAGCATTCATTGTAGTGTAAATCTCAACGCCGAATCGGAAGCCCGTCAGCAGCGTGACGTTGTTGTTCTCTGAATACTGAATCTCGTTGGCCATGATCCACCGGTCGTCAACATTCTCGGGCAGAGATGGGTATGGGAGGTTCGGAGTTGATGGCGCGATGACGAGGTCGGCGTGAGAGGCGCCAAGCTGTGAGAAGGAACGCACGCCGAGCAGCAGGCACCAGAATATGCGCTTGCCAATCTGATCTTTTAGTGTGAACGGCAGAGTTGTTGAGTAGTGATCAGTGCAAATGTCGCAGTCGCCGGTTCTGACGCATGAGCCAGCTCACGATCACGATAGCACTCAGCGGTGAAGTGGCGATATGCATTGACATGCAACGTATAGCCCGCAGCAAGGCCCAGAAAGTAGCTCGTCGCAGCATCGTCGAGCGTCTTGGGCGACTTGATGGACCACAGAGTACCGCGTGTCTGGAGCGCAATATCCCTGCACTTTTCAATCATGACAATGGCGCGAGGGAAAAGGTGCGTGCTGTGCTGGGCCTTGAGGTGCTGGCGAGCGCTTCGAGGAAAAGAGGCCACGAGGGCGGCAATCATGGAGGCCAACAGACTCAGAAACTCGGGGTTCGTCCGGTCCTGGCGCGTAGCGAAGGCGTCTCGGAAGGTTGGTTCGTGAGGAAAAGGCGCCAGGGGGTGGATGTAGGTGAAGAAGTCGTCAACGAGGAGCTCCAACACAGGCATAGGAGCAATCGATTCGGCAGTGTAGGGTGTGGCTGCAGGGCCCTCTGCGATGGACACAAGGGTCTGCGCGGCGTTATGCGGCGAGGGTGTCGGGCCCAAGCCGTTGTTGTAGGCGAAACCATTGCCTGCAGGTGTCGGGCCGGGCTCGAGTCGAGGGCGCTGGGCAGCGCGAGCAGCCTCGGCGTGCTTGTTCGGGGGACCGCGTCTCTTGAGGGCTCGGTGAAAGGTGCACTCGACGTTGAGGTCTCGGCAGGGCCTGCATGGGGCCGTCTCGTCGCATTTCACCTTGCGCTGGGAGCACATGTCACAGGCTCGGCGGAGTCGCGTCAGCTTAGGATTAACAGCCGAGTCTCTGGCAGCGGACGGCGCAGGTGCAGGCACAGGGGCAGCAGATGCCACCGAGGCAAATGGATGTGGACCGGCAGGCGCTCCCCCGATGGACGCATTTACGGCAGCAGTAGCAGCAGCAGCGGCGGCGGCGACGGCCAGAGCAGGATCTGGGCCGCTCGAGCTGCCCGTGTCCGTGCCTTGCATATCATGATCAAGAGAAGACGCGGACTGCGGCGGGGGGTCATATTGGTGATGCTGCTCATGTGGTTCGTGGTGTTGCTCGTGATGTTGCTCGTGGTGTTGCTGCTGGTGATCAACACTTTCGCGCAGAGCCTGAGCGGCGGCGGCGTCTGATGCGTCCTGGAGAGCCTGCAGGCCACCGGTGGCGATTTCGTGAGCAGTCGATGAAGATGTGGTCGCGTGGATCAAGTTTGCGTCCAGATCTGAGGTCTGCATCGAGCCAGGGTCGTAGTCGTCAAGTCCATCCTGGTGTTCGATATGTACATGCTGTCCATGATGCTCGGGCTCTTCAGAGGCATCGGCAGCGGCAGCAACAGCGGACGCGGCAGCGGAGTCGGATGCTGTGTCGCCATTGTCGATTTCGGACTGCGCTGCTGTGTCGATGGTAGTCGAGGCGATAGGTTCAGGGTCAACCTTCAAAGCCGAGAGGTCGTCGTGGTCGTCATCGTTCATGTGGCCATGATGATCTTGGTCCTGACCCATCGACATTGTGGAAACCAGAGACGCGCTCAATGATACAGACGCGGATTCGCGCGATGGCTGATCGTCGGGGAAGCTTCGGTGCGCGGCGTCCAAGGTGCGGTGGTGATGGTTGAGCGTCGGCAGTTCTGCGGCTGGTTTTTTCAAGCATCACGTGACTCGGCAACCGTCTACAAGGATCTGGGCCCCGTCTGTAGTCCAGCGGCAGGTGCCACAGGTGTGCCCATGGAGGAAGGGGCATCTTGCTGCATCATGCCTGCCTCGATGCTCAACCACACGGCTGTCACGTGAACCTAGAATTCGCTTGTCGTGGATCTCATCTACGTGCTGCTTTTGTGGAAATGCATTCTTGATTTGATCTCTACTTGATCCTTTCCCTACAGCGCCTTATTGACTTGACCTCCAGTTTATTGACAATACTAGCCACTACAGTACCCTCCTCCTCGAGTCACCTAACGGCTCCAGTGAAATGCGATCACAGGCATCAACAACCCAGCCCGCTGAAGACGCTGGCCAGTGGGAGTATGGGCTTAATGTCTTCCAAGTTCACTGTCGACAGTAGTGAGGTGCGCAGGTCGCCGATGACCACTGCTTTTGTCGCCAACATCGGTGGGCTCAGCCTCCCATTCCCGGCCCACGCTCAGTCGTGATCATGCGATAACGGAGAAGGCAGGTCCGGCATCTGCAGCGTCACCAGCTCTCTCTCGCGACACTCGCAGGCGGGCGAGGCCCAGATCATGCGCCCCACGATGCGCCCGTCCTTCACCAGCATGCCCATGCCGTCCAGGTGCGACAGCTTATACTTGAGCCCAGGAACGCGGTATGCCACGGCCCGATGCAACTCGGCCGTCGGCGCAAAGGCGCCGACGCGGAAAGCGAATGTCCCATGGCAGGTTGTGCATGTGACCCCGACCATGTAGTTGTACGGGTGGCAGTGCATCGTCGCGAACCGGGCGTAGCTCAGGTCGATACGGCTCTCTGAGAGCTCGCCGACGACCGTAGTCAGGGACATGATGTCTGCGAGCCACTCGGCGCACTCCTCTCCCTCGCCGCACATCGACCATGGTTCGGCCCAGGGAGTGTTGTACTGATCCCGGAGCAGTTCCTCAAGCTCTGTGAGGTTATCGTGGGCCTTGAGATGCTCCATGATGATCTCCTTGCGCTCGCCGTAGAGTCTTGTTCCGAGCGAGACAATAAAATCGTCCAGGTTCGGCCCGGTGAGATCGAGACTGAAGGCGGCGCACCGAGAAAAGTGGTCGTAAGTGCTTTCCCAATTCGGGAATTTGACAATCGTAACAAGGCCGATTCTCTCTAGTGTCAAGGTCACTTTATCGCCAGATTCATCGAAGGATACGTCGACCGGGAGCGAAGGGGGGCTCGTCTCCTCACCCAATTCCCAGGTCCAGACCTCATTGTAGCTGCATGGATCCAGCGGGTTCAGCCGCGGGTCGTCCAGCAGAGGGACGCTCGGCGTCATGAGCAAGGGGCTGTAGTCGCCCGCGAGGAGACACTCTCGCGCGACCCTGAGGTACTCCGTCCGAAAATCCGGCTGCAGGGCTGCCTCTGACCTCGCGGCGACAATACCGCGCAAGCCATGGAGAAAGTCCATTCGATCGCGGCACTTCCGCCTCGCCAGGAGGGCAAAAGCCATGGCGAAGCTGGTTGTCTTGTGCGACTTGACCTCGCGCAGCGGCCCAAGCGTCCAGGGCACCAGGTTTCGGTTCTCGGGGAGCCCGACCATGTTCTCGACATTGTGAACGCTGCCTTGCCTAACGACCTCCTCGTCCCATACGTGATGTAGCCTGTCCAGAAAGGCTGGATCGTCTGCTCCAGTGTCGAGATGGTAATCGGACGTCATCATCCTGATCCGGCTGCTACTCACGAATTCCATGGCCGTCCACATGCGTTGAAACCACTGTGCATTGCACACCCCCGTCATACCGTCCAGTGTTACGTCGGAGTCCTCATCCTGGCGAAGCTTTTCCACAGTGGACGAGCTCAGGTCGTTAAAGTGTATGATGGTGGCGTAACTGGAGCTGTAGAGCGTGTGGATGATACGAAGGATCGGATTCTTCAGTTCATCCGTCCACTGCGGAACGCTGAAGTAGTCGTGCCATATTTCCTGCCCGTTTCCATCCACCTCCATGCTCTCTTCGAGGCCAGAGCACACGAGGACGGGTGCTTCGATGGCCTGTCGCCTGACTTCTAGCGGCTGAGGTGAGTGGCGACCCTGCTGCTGATTGATGGAGACTTGCGGGTCCCAGACATGTGAGACTGTTAAGACGTGGACCTCGCTTGTCCGGAGGCAATGGAGGTGCCTGTCAAAGAACAAGACATCTCGTTGTAAGTGCGTCGAAACGACCCGGCTGCAGTGCAAAGACTCGCTTGACGCAGACGTCCCGTCGGGAGGCGCCAGCTTGAACGTTCTCACAAGAGCATCGTGCGTGAATGACTCCTGGCAGACTAGGCAGCGGAGCTTGTCAGGTTCAGGCTCGTACCAAAAGGCCTCGAGGTCTGCGACGCCCGTGGCGGCTAGCTCGTCGAGCTTGGACTGTTCGAGGACTATCTGGATGTTTGTACAGCGAAGCAGTCGCAATGTCTCTCACGGAAGATTCCCACTGCGGCTGCCGCGTAGTTTCGGGCTCAATATGCGGTTGTAATACATGTCAGCATTGAGTGAGCGGGGCCAAAATGCGAGGTTATTCAGATGGCGGCGGTAACTCCCAAAATGGACAGGAAATATGTACGTGCAGGGATAGGATTCACAGCTGATGGGTAGACACAATATCTCGTGCCAATGGTGGATCACCTTTCCGTCTAGTAGGAATAAGCTTGCCTGTATCCGAGCGAATGGTAACACGAGTTGGGATGAACACGTTCTCGCGCATAAGCAGCCTGCAAGATGTAGCCCTTGGCAGTGGCGCAACCTGTAAAGCATTTCAGGAGATCTCACAGACATTCTAGATACTCCATTTCTGGCTGGCTTCGGTACAAAGATCTAGTGGCCCCACGAGCTGCTCGGGTGACACCTCTTGACTACTGGCCGGCACAGCTCAGGTAGTTGTAGTCGGTCTATGCAACGTCTCGGGATCCCAGTTTTCTGCAGACGGAAGATATTGCACCGGTGTACACGAAAAAAAAGAATTTCTATTTACTTGTCGTGTACTCTTTACACTCCCGTCTCGCAGATATTACCGATGTCGTGCAGCCCGATCTCGTCTCAGCGCGGCCGGCCAGAACAAGTGGTATGGGATCACCAACAGTTGTCCTGAACTCGGCCACGTTTGTTAGCAAGAACCGATTTCTGCACGCCATATAGATGTCTACTTGATGAATTTTGCAAGGGCCGCGGACGACGCTCTGGCCTCTCGAGACTCAACTGCGTCACGAAACACCTCAAGGTCGCAGATGGACTGGGAACGTGCTTCAAAATCGCCGCAACAGCCAGCTCGACGGCATTGTAGGTATAGTCCGCAGGTTGTATACGATTCTAGATAGATAGTCCTTATGCTGGTGTCAAGGAGTCTCGCGACGAGGGAAGGCCTGCAGCTGTTGATCTCATGAGGATATCTAATTAGGTAGAATAATCGATACTCTCTTCTAACTATGGGAAAGCGACCCTCTTTGTAAGTAGTCTCTCAAAAATCTGGGTCCTCTCTTTGCTCTGTAACTCTGGTCAAACAATAGGTGCCCTGCAGCCGTCCCATATTTGTTCAAAGGTTCTGATACCCGGTGACAGGGCTCAAAATATAACCTCCGAAGTGTGACAAAAATGTGACCCGCTCAGGTAAGTAGCACTCATCTGTGATAAGCGTTACTCTTTTGGCATTCTTACTAGTTATGCCAAAGAAGATCTGTACACGAAAGCATATTCCATAGCATTTAACATGACTACAACAAATTTCTACATGTGTATGTGTGCTTCAACAATGCAGTTGACTATGTATTTCAGTTATAGAGTTCTAGGATACACGGCTTTGTTACTGCCTAAGCTCGAAAGCTGTGATGGTCTTTGAATTGTCATGATCGTCTGCGCATGCTCAATGTTAAAAAACCACTTATCCTCATTTTCTCAACTCGAGCATTGAATGCGGCGCGATTGACCCTTGCAACAAACGTTGCTTTCGAGCAAGGTACTTCACTTCCTTGGGCCAGGTTCGGACTCCTCGCGGGACTACAGCCCCTAGGCCTTGAACATGCAAGGATAGTGCATCGTTTAAAACGTAGAATGGCACCCTCCTGCATCAAAAGGGGCCACTGGTTAACGGCTTTCCCCTCACAGGCAATCCTCCATCTTGGCTCTTGAGGGCCCCGTAATTTCACTCCGCCGTCGCTCATCCAAGACTTTGTAGACCGTGGACCAAGACGTCAAGCACCGCCGAAGAAGATCCTAACAGTCAGATCTTCGCCTGTCACAAAGCATTTTGCAGGACATATATCATAGGCCGCCCTGACCCCTGAAGCCGATGCCTTCCCGTTCCATGTCACCCTTCACGCCAACGAGGTTTGACGCACAACGATGTTCTTCGCTGTACAGACTACTGTCGCGCTGCTTGCCGGCCTAGTCGCTGTCGCACTCCTAGTGATACGCAAGAGCAAGCCGGCCGGCAAAGCGACACCCCTCAAGCTGCCTGTCATCGGCGACCTCCACAGCTCCCCGCGCGAAACGCCGCTCGTCCATTGGGATGCCTGGGCCAAAAGGAATGGAGCGATTGCGACATCAAAGTTATTCGGCATCGTGCCGATAGTGGTACTGAATACAGCCGAGGCGGCGACAGAGCTGCTCAGCCGCCGGAGTCAGTGGTACAGCAACCGACCCCCGTCGACGAGCATGGAGATGATCACGGGCGCGGGTCCCGGCCAGTCCCGATTCACGTTGATGCACGATTATGATTCTCATTTGAAGCTTCACCACAGACTGCTGGCACCGAGCCTCGGTGCCGTTGCGGCGCCGCGGTATCAGCCCGTGATGGAACTTGAGTCAAAGCAGCTGCTGTTTGATTTGGTAGTTGCTGTGGGTGGCAATACAGAAAGCGCCATCATCAACAGCTCGGATGTTTACCCCTTGCTTGAACGCACGCAGTCCAGTGTCATTCTTTCACTGCACTATGGCCTGCGGATTCCCGATGTCTCCGAACCTATACTTCACGAGATCATTGACATCCAAACCCAAGTCACGCATCTTGCGGCGAACCCGGGGCTACCCGACTTTATTCCTCTTTTAAGAAACCTGCCTGCCATCCTCTCGCCCTGGAAAACAACTGCAGATAAACTCTTTGCTACGCAAGTTGACTTGTACGAGCGGTTGTATGAGCATGGCAAAGCATCACAGTGCTGGAACGCAGCAAAGCAAGCTGTCACGACCGCCGAGAAGGTCGTGCCAGGCGACATCCGTCCGGCCGACTTCGACCTCGACCTCGCCTTCACGCTGGCCACATCAATCCAAGGCGGCATGGAAACCTCGCCGCGCCAGATCCTGTGGCTGTTCATCGCGGCCTTGCAGAACCCAGGCTTTGTGCGCCGCGCACATGCCGTTCTGGACGACGTCGTCGGTCGTGACCGTCTGCCGCGGTTCGCCGACAGGTCAAGTCTTGCCCTCATCGACGCTGTCATTCACGAGCTGTTTCGATGGCGACCCGTCTCGCCGGGGAGCATCCCACGTCGTGCTGAGAAGGCGGACGAGTTTGCAGGCGTCAAGATTGTCAGGAATGTGACGATCATCACCAACGCGTGGGGTATCGGACGTGACGAAAAAACATTTGACCCCGGTCTCGGCGACCTGCAGGAGTTCATCCCGGAGAGATGGCTTGATGAACGAGGCAAGGTCAACAGCAGTCTGCCGCTACCGGTGTTTGGCCAAGGCCGGAGGGCTTGCTTGGGCAGACGGGTGGCCGTCGACGGCACGTTCTTGCAGGTCGCAAACCTGCTGTGGGCGTTTGACGTCGAGGCCAGTGAGGAGGTCAATCCGTGGGCCATGTCAGTTGTCGGGTTCATGACGGTGCCGACGGAGTTTCGATTCAAGCTTAAGCCACGCGGACCGTGGGTGGTGGATGTGGTCACACGATCGTGGGAAGATGCGAGCAAGGACTTGGGCGAGGTGATGGGACTGTCGCATGATGTGGAGGGATAGCGGATGTCGTGGAAACGTTCTCACGAGCGTGGGAGCGTATGCACTGCCACGATGCATCTTGGCATCTCCTTCGTGTTGTATATCTCGAGATGGAGGGTCAGTCTGTCAGACTCGGCCGCGTGTGGAACGGAGAGCAAACTCCGCGATGCACAAAGGCAGGCAGTAAGACGTGCAGACCAACCACTGGCAAGCTGGCTGCATTTGGAACTTCGTAGGGGAGATCGTTCAGGCTGTGGATCTGACTTCACGGCGCTCGTGATCACCTGTTTGTTCGAGAATGGAAATTCTGCATCGTCAAGCTGACTGCAGCATGCACTCGATCGAAGTATTTGAAGAGGTATACTATAAGTTGCACGCATGTAAGTCAGACCACTCCATTTGCGATAGACTTTGCTAGTTTGCTAAGCAAGCACTGGTTCGACCAGGTCCTTGCTCTGAAGGATTCAAATTTATATGCCATCTGCAAGCAGTGCTTTGCCGCAGCCACCTGATGGTTGTTCGTGGTCACGTTTTCATTCCAGATAGGGAATACCTGCTCGACGATATTGAGGTAGGCAGGATGGAATCCAACTAGGAACATATAAATCCAGCACCAGAATCCCCAGTGCACCATTCGACCATCATGAAAACACACCCCAACAAAAGCTGGCCATCATGTTCCTCCTCCCCTTGACCCTCCTCGGGCTCCCTCTAGCCCTCGCCCAACAAATAGGCACGCTTGTCCCCGAAGTCCCCCCCGCTCTCACCTGGTCCAACTGCACCACCGAATCGTGCACGCCTGTCACCGACGCGCTGACCCTCGATGCCAACTGGCGCTGGACACACGAGACGACCTCGGCGCACACGTGCTTCCTCGACGGCGACTGGACAGATATCTGCTATAACCTCAACAGCGGCACAGCGTGTGCCGAACGCTGCGCCATCGAGGGCGCCGAGTACGCCTCGACGCACGGCATCACGACCGCGGGCGGCCGCGCGTCGCTACGGTACGTCACGCACTCTGCCTTTGGGCGCAACGTCGAGAACCGCGTCTTCCTGCTAGCGCCGGGTGGCCAGTATCGCATGTTCGAGCTGCTCGGGCGCGAGGTGCGCGTTGACGTCGAGGTCGGCACGCTAGGGTGTGGGCTCAAGGGGGCGCTGTACTTTGTCAAGATGGAGGCAGACGGCGGGCGCGGGCGCGGCAAGAATGCCGCCGGCGCGCGGTACGGCACGGGCTACTGCGACGCGGAGTGCAGCCAGAGCATCAAGTTTGTTGATGGCCGGGCCAACATGGAGGGATGGGCGCCGGGGTACACAGATCTTGAGCTCGGACGCGGCGCCGTTGGGGCCTGCTGTGCCGAGATGGGCGTTTGGCAGAGCAATTCGGCGTCGTACGTCGTCTCGGCGCATCCTTGCATTAACCCCAACTTTCACACGTGCCAGGACAGCCGGTGCCCACGCGGGTTCTCGGACGACATTTTTTCCGCATGGCTGCGATACCGACGGCTGCGGCGCGAGCCCGTACCGACTGGGCAACACGCACTTTTATGGGCAGGGCAAGACGCTCGACAGCGGGGCCAAATTTACGTGAGTTATCTTCGGGACTCAGTGAGAGGAAACAGAGAGAAGCTGACTGGGTAGCGTCATTACGCGGTTTCATGAGGACCATGTCTCGCAATCCTTCATCCAGGCCGGCGAGCCCATCGACACGCCGACCAGCCAGGCGTCCGGCGTGCAGGGCAATGCCATCTCAGACGACTTTTGCGACAGCCAGGCGTCGGCGTTTGGGGAGCGCAACCGCTACGCCGAGGTCGGCGGGTGGTCGTCGACGAAGCGGGCGCTCGCGGGCCAGTGGGTCATGGTCATGTCCATCACGCACGACGCCTACGCCAATATGCTCTGGCTCGACTCGCTGTACCCGGTCGACGCCGCCGGTCGGCCCGGTGCGCTGAGGGGGCCGTGTCCGGCGAACAGGGGGTATCCGGCGCAGACGGTGGCGGAAAACCCGCACGTAGGTGATTCGCTGAGTGGGTGTCGACGTGTACTGACAAGGGCAGGCCAAGGTGACGTTTTCGGATATTCGGTACGGGCCGATCGGGACGACGGGGTGATGGCAACGGTAATGTATTGGGGATCTGGCTGTAGGTACGTGTTGGAGCATATTAGCGGTGGTGTAGCAGAGTTTGTCTGGCTCCATGCTAGTGCTTCAACTATGCCGTCGCTATCTTGGTCACCCCGGGGTTGACATGTCGCTTCTGGTGATCTCGTGGTAATCTTTGCTCTTGCAGCTTCGTTTGGGGTAGCCCTTAGTTGCGAACTCTCCTCGAATTCATACGACATCCCTGTTTACATCAGCGACATGAAGAAGAAACGGTGATCTTACCAGCCACCTATAAAAAGAATGATTTGTTTCGGATGATGATATGGCCCTGCAGCTTCGGAGTCCGAGGGGAAGTCCATCTTGGTACTCTGCCTTCCATCCAGGGTTGCAGACGGCAGACGGCAGACGGCAGACTATAGATTGCCAGAGGTCAGCGAGCTGGCTCCCCAGGAATCATCTGTCAAGCTCCACGTTCAGGCCATCTCTGGCAGTATCTGAATAACGAATCATGATGTCGCATAGATGAGGTCCTACAGATGTCTAGCTCATGATGCAGTCATGGCACCGCTGGTGGTTGGGTCTGTCGGAAGGTGCCCCCCCTGGATGGGCGGGGTCCGGCAAGTGGATCCCCAGCCACCTGCCGCCTGTCTCCTGGCTCCTGCCCCGCCCCCTGGCCCCTGCCACCTGCTGCCTCCATCGTCGCCACGAATCAAGCACTGGGCGCCTTGTGCCGGAGGAAAGGCAGGTACTGCCAGCGAAGCGTCAGGCACCTAGACACTTGGGCAGGCACCTCCGGCAGGTAGTCAGGTACTCCCTGCCTCAAAAGAAAGCACTCCAGCCTCGACGCCATCCATCGCTCCATCAATCCATCGGCACCCCAGCCACCCTCCAGCCATCTCCAGCAAACAGGTTCAAGAAGCCCATGTCTTCGCCTGCTCCTCGACGCTCGCTTCTTTCATTCTTATCTTGTTCTCTCCATTCCTGTCTGTTTTCATCCATCAGCCCATGCCGTCGCATTGAACAAGCAGCACACCACACCACATCGCCGCCACACAATGGCCACGCGTGCGCAAACACAGTACAACCCCCAGCCCGCCTTTGAACCAGAGTCCTTCGCCTCGTCCCCGCAGCGCCAGACCCGCGGTGGCAACGGCGCCAACCCACGTTATCGTCGTCCTCGCTCGCCCCTCCTCGACCACCAGGGCGAAGTCCATTTCTACAGCGGCAGCGACGAGCCGCCGTCGCCCTCGAGAGCGAGTCCCAAGCGCGGATCTGCGCCGCAACGCAGCAGCGGCCGCCCCTCGTCCATGGCCGCCGTCGACGCTATGCAAGCCCGTGCCAAACACGCTAGTCTCCCCTCGTCCTCTGGCCCCAAGCCCAGGGACGGCCTCCCTTCTACCCTAGCGACGAAGCCATGACGACGCGCGCTCCGATGCCCGGTCCCCCGCGATGCCGCGTCGCGCGAGCGTCAGCCGTCGCACGTCTGCTTCTGGTGGTGCTGCCCCAGCCCCCACGGGCTACGGTGGCCCTCCTCCCGGACCCGGCCAGCAGATCCCCAACGGGTCCCCGCGCGGGCCCTCCCACGGCGGCTCCCCCCGCACAAACGCCCCCGACGGCCGCCGCAGCCCACCTCTGCCGTCGCAGCAGCAGCAGCACCTTTCGGCCCCCGCCCTGCAGCAGGCTTCGGAAATCTCCCGCCTCAGCAGCCCCGGCATCAACCAGAGCGTCCTGCAGCCCCTTGAGAAGAAGATGAAGGAGTACCGCGCCCTCTTGGCCGACGCCGAAGCCGACATGGCGCAGCTCGACGACGAGCTGCGCATCCTCACCGAGCGCCGCCGCCAGGCCGAGGACCGCTTTGTTGACGCCCGCGGTCGCCACGACGACTATGAGCGCCAGCACGCCGATGTTGAGAGGGCGCTGCGCGGTGATTTCTCGGCGGCGGCGCCGGGGCAGCTCGCATCCCAGCAAACGCTGCAGAGGGGCGAGCCGCAGCAGGTGACCATCCAGCCGGGCCCGCAGGGCCGTCCACTGGGGCCGTCGCAGCAGCAGTCATGGACCATGGCGAGGGCACCGAGCATGGACAGCTTCGATGACCGGCCAGGGACGGGGCAGAGCTTGGCGAGTCGGCAGCCGAAGAAGAGGGGGAACCGGTTTGGGATCAAGCTGTGGTAGGTGGGTACGAGCCAGTCTCGCGCCGTGATGGGCGCATATGCATTTGACGATTTATGGGATGGATAGATATGTTGTTAATTTGATGAACCTTCTCTTGGCGTGGTCATGGGTTCAGCTCTGGGACCTGTGAAGGCTACGTCGTACACCAAATAATGCTCAGGGAGTCTCGCAAGGCGTGAAGGGAATATCAACTGACTTCCCAGGGTCGCTACATAGGCAAGATGATCCCCTCGAACTATAGTGTGTTATGTTAGCGATATTTAGAGCAGAGTGAAGAGGTTTTCTACACCTAGGTAGTCCACAGGCAATGGAATGAAGTTAGGGGATTACGCACCTACTTCTTAATATAGGCCTATATGATAAAGTTAGCCCGCTGGGACTACGCCTTCCACGACCCGAAAGGGCAATCTCAAGTATTTAGGTCGCGCCGGGACCACTCTATGTGCTGGTGAAGAGATTGCCTACTGCAAGATTCGCGAAAACCATTCATGGTGGTGGGTGGGGGAGGTCAGGTCGAAGACCATACACATGCCAAGACATTCTGGGACGGGTCAAGCTTAGATGGCCCTCTATAGTCTATATTTCTATTAACCTATTTTCGCCCCTAGAAACTGTTATTCTCTTCCTAGGCTATAGTAATACCCGCACTTAATTGTACCTATAAAGACGTACTTATAGCTATCACGAAACACCTTTACTTAGCTTACGCTGATAGAATAATACCGCCGGGGATAAAAAAGGAATCCGAGTTGTCTGAGATAGACGAGGAAGGCGACCGCAAGCGATTCAAGCTTTTCGCTCCAGCTGACGAGGTGGAAGACGAAGGGTACCGGCGTCAACAAGGCATTGAGGGGTTGCACCAACTCAGGAACTCCGAGCTTCTCAGTTTGTGAAACATCGTCGTGGAATGCTCAACTGCACCTGGCGGTAGCTCACATCCAGACCCGGAACATGTCGAGCACATCCTCGCAACAATCTTCGATGAGAGATGGACGTCTTGGAAACCAGTTGGGGAACCGGTGAGCAGGAAATTTGATGAGACAGTTGTTTGTGTGACATGATCGAATCCGATCCTGAACGCGCATTCAAACACAAATACCTCTTAGAAGTTGGCGAAACGCTACGTAAGTCGCAGCCAATTCACTCCGCAATGGAACACAACTAATACATCGCGAAAAGCTTCGAAACCCGTATGCACGTATGCACTGTACGTGTCAACTTACAACTGCTTCGCTGCAGAAAAAATACCACATTTCCGAGTCGGACCTATGGTCGATGGACGTTGGGAGAATCGCTCCTCAGCCAAATGCAAGGGGCGAGGCTACCATGTCCCAACCAGTTCCCAGCTTCGCACCCGCGAGCGCTTCTTGCTAGACCGAGCACTTTATCTTAATATGCAGCAAGTCAAATACGAAGGCCGCTAGTACGTTCGAAAGCTCGCAGCTCGGAAATCGACACTACACAAATGGATTGCACGATTTGGCCGTTTCAGGGACTTGGTATTTATCAAATGACATTTCATCCCCGATGAGACTCCCAATATGATTGGCGAGGCGGGTAGCGTGTGTTCTGTGTACACGGGCCTTGACGTGGGACTAAATGTCCTGAAATCTCGTAGGGGGTTCTTCGAAGCTTTTTCCATGCGGAATACTTGACAATAGTCATTGTTTTCTACACAGTCATGGCCATTCCTTATACTAGCAGATGACTTTTTCCCACTGACAATACTGAAGCTGTGGAAGCCGGCCAAGAGCCTAACGGCACGGTCGTGATGGAGCGAGCGGCCTGAGATAGTTGCGCCTCTATGGAAATTTCAGTGATTGCTTTTGCGAAAAGGACTTGCGACGGTCATCCAGCATATCATTTCAATATGAGGCTATATTGGGCACGGCTTCAGGTTGAATATCCTCAGAAGGGTAGCTTTACGCATGAGATTTATTGGTATCATATGTCTTTTTCGTGGATCCTGAATTCAGGTAATAAATAATGCTACTAAAGCCAGTTCACCTAGCCTTTCTTTGAACTTGTAGTTATTGGAGCAGTCATGCTCGATAGTCATCAGCTGGAATAAGGCAGTTACACTTCCTTCCTTCATTAGTTACTCAGATGCCAAGCAACCGCCAAAGCGGCAGGTCCGATATTCACCTGATGCAACCTAGGTACCTTCATTAACTCTCATTTCACCACCATCTCGCGGCTACTCAAGCCGGCCTCCTCTGAATCTTCATTTCCGACAGCCCAACGCATGCACAGTCTATCAACTCGGTAAGACATACCAACGCGCTTCTTTTGCCACAATGTCAGCTCCCATATCCAGACACGTCTCTGGCATAAAGCAAGAACTGCTACACCGAAGCAAGCGAATCAAGCTTTTCCTGTCAGCCAATCAGGAACAAGAGGCATTACTTGCCAACCCGCGGCACATTGAGCACCTGAATCAGCTCACAAACTCCGAGCTCCAGACTTTACGAGGAATCGTGGTACAGTGCACAGGGCTACTTGGCATGACTGGAATGCCTGTCCCTACCGTGGTAGAGTTTCTGCTCGGGCTGACCTTTGACAACGGCTGGACCTCTGACAAACCTGTTGAAGAACGGCCCCTGTTCTTGGAGATCCGAAACATCACGACAATCGGCACTTTGACCAAAGAGACATTCGCATATGTCCTTCAGCAAGAATACTTCCTTCCAATAGGCAAGACACATGGTAAGTCATGAATGACTGGGGGTTAGAAATTTTATGGTTGCGCAAAAGCCTAACGGCGAAAAGATGGGCGTGATGTGTACGGACACGCGTCCTTGGCGGGCGGTGACGCTCCAAACGGCACCCACGTGCAATTCAACTACGTGACCATTGTAAATGGCAGCTACGTCAAGATTGCATTGAGTGATCCCGCGGCCCCTCGAGATGGAAGCGTGGCCATCAACGACTTGATCCGGTGCCACAACCAGTTCGTCATGGACCAGGTGCTATATTACAACATACAAGCCGCCAAATTTATAGCGCAGCACCTCATCAAACAGTTCGCGTCTGGAAAAATGTTAGGTCTCGAAATGACTGGACGGATCGCTCAGTTCGAGAGAGTGGAGTTTCCCAGGGTCAAGAAACACCTCCTCGCCAACTTGTTTCCTCCAGCGATCGCCCGGGAACTTGGCAAACTGAAGAGTCGCCTTGACTGCGACATTTGCGGCTTAAATGGCCTCAAAGTATTCAAAACCAACTTGTTCTTGATAGCAAGGGGGTGGGAGAAGCCGTGAAACGAAATGCATCGACAGATGATGCCTAGTGCCGAATCAGGCACAAACTAAGCGCGTCACCAAAGAACTCGCGGATCATGACGAGAAAGGTTATCTACATCGGCGATAGCCCTGGACAAGGTTTCCTGGCGCTTTTATCGGCGAGGGACTCCATGGATCTCAGGTAGCGCATTGCGTTTCTGGCTTACTGAGCACGATTGTGAGCTGAGTGGGCGGCATCACGGTTGTCTTGAGTTGGGCTGGGTTGAACGGGGCACAGAGCAAGATGCATCAACGCAATCTAATAGCAATAGCTTTAGCCTACTGAATGAAGTCGGCTTACACTCGTAATAGTTTACAACACCGTCTTTCACGTTCGTCGTTGCTTTTCGTGAGTTGATATCCCCATTGGCTCCGTGGTGGTGCTGAGACAGAGGTAAGCCTACCATCAACAGCTGCGCCCCCAACTCGGAGGATTTTGACGCTGCACAATAATGGCTGCGCATGACTTCCGTAGGACAGGTTGAATTGAGATTGATACTGTGGAAAAGCATATGAAGTGTACACTGTCAAGCAATTCAAGACATCAAGTCTCATATATCCCCACTAAACGACATTCAAGGGTTGGTGTCTTGGTGTGATACAGGGGGGACTCAGCTCCTACAAGCCAAAATCGCGCCTCGTGCAGTCCGGCCCTCCCAGAAACACTGTCTCCCGTCATGACAGCTGATATTTGAAATTCTCACATTGCGCAAGACGTTTGGACCTTCACTTGGTCAACTACTTTTGGATCTCAAGACGAACCTGTCATGAGAATTACTCGATGTACCCCTGACATATGGCCTCTTATCAGAGCCCCCACGTTACTCGGCACGCGAACCGATTGAGTAATTGCTCCCCAACCTTGTGCCCATATCGGCCATCCACCAGTACATCAGCACAACCTTGCCCGCATTGCTTTCTTCTGCCTGCAGGGGTATTCCCCGACGCCATAACGGCCTGTTAGATGACATGCCCCCAGCGGCGAAGCCCCTGATTGTGCTAGTAGGTGATGCCGTTTATCTAGGCTACGTCCTCTTTCGCGGTCCTCCGATCTGACAGATCGTATTCTCTCCTTTAGCCTCTGCTTCGTCTTCTTCTTCTTTCTCTCTTCAATTGCAGCTCGTCGCATCTCCTGCAGCCTGTCGTCGATCCGTCTAGTCGCCATCCCCCCCTCCACCCCGGCTCGTCGTTGAAAGAGCGCCCGCAGCCGAAACAAGCAGCCCACCCACACACCCGAAGGGCCGCCCCGAACGCCCGCACGATGCGCTCGCACCCGTACACGCCCCCACCGCCCCTCCCGTCCGTCCTCGACGAGCTCGCCGCCCTCGCGCCGCTGCCGAACCAACGTCCTCGCCGCGCCTCCTTCGACGACGCCGCCTCTGCCACTGCCGCCGCCCCCGCAGACATCCCCCTCGAGGCCCTCGACCCCGAAACGAGCCAGTTGCTGCCGACGAGAAAACGAAGGCACAGGGTGCGCATACAGGGCAAGCTGGCGCTCGTCAAGAGCATATCTACGGCGAACCTATCGGGCAAGGCTGCGGCGCAGGCGTCTGGCAGGGCGGGCGGGAGTCTTGAGGGAAAGCGCAGCGGGGAGGACGAGGAGCTGTCACAGACGAGTGACACGGAGGAGGAGGCTCGGGAGTTTGCCGTGCGGGATCAGCAGCTACGGGGATACGGCATTGGCGGGGCGGGCAATATCCGTGAGTACTACGTTCGGGGGCAGCCGCCGTGTCACGTTATACTAATTGGGGATGTAGGGCGGCCGACGGAGGTGTATGGACTGTCGAGGCCATCGGAAGGCTCTTCGACGAGTGGTGCGGACCGGGGACTGAGGAATCTGCGACATCTGATCGGGCGCATGGGGGACCTTAAAAATAGGGGATCATCTTGAACGTGGTATGAATGGAGCGTGCTGAGAGGTCCAACTTGATGCGTGTTCTGCCACTTGCGCCTCGTCTCACGTCGTGCAACATCATCTGAGCGGCCGGCTTTGCACACAGCGAGAGCTCTATTGGGTGCTGGTCGCCAAGAGCGGGCAGCTTGCAGTGAGCCTCTTTATCGAACGTTCCATGCTCGTCGAGCCAATTTCAACACACAACAACAGGCTTTACTCGCCCTCAACCAAGGACACAGTCAATTATGGTCATCACGACTGACAGTTTAGTACGGTTGCCTTCGTATTAGAACACCTTGGTAATATTCTTCAATGACGGACGAGTCGTATGTGCTACGAAAATCAACCCAGCACAAACTCGATCTCGTCCCTATTCTGATATACCGGAGACTGATGCAAAGAGTCAATGCTCCCCTAGCCATGTAGTCAAACTTGCTAGCATTTACATAGCCCGAGTGTTGTTTCCAGGCGTCTCAGCTTGGTCGACCTGAGCAACAGTAGGCGTCTCACTGATTTCCTTCCGGTCGCTCCGTGATCCGTTGTCAACCGAAGCCGTCTCGTTGTCCTTGGCCCTGAGAGGCTCGGTCATGCCGAACAACTCGTTCATTGACTCAAGGCTGAGACCCTTGGTCTCGGGGATGAAGAACCAGCAGAAGACAACCATGACCACACACCAGCCGGCGAAGAAGATGTAGGTGCCGAAGCCGCCGACTCCCAGGTTGACGAGCATGGGCGGCACGGCCCTCGAGACCACAAAGTTGAACAGCCACTGCGTGGCGGCGGCGTAAGAGACGTTGGTGGCACGGAGACGGGTGGTCGCAATCTCAGAAACGTAGATCCAGCAAACGGGGCCCCATCCGAACTGGAAGAGAGAGGCAAACAGGAAAATGCAGACGAGGGCAACGTAGCCGGCGGCAGACACGTCCTCTTCAGAATTGGGGTCAGGCTGTGTGACGCGGATGAAGATGGCGATGTAAAGCATCATTCCAGACATGGCGATACCGGTCCAGATGAGAGAGCGGCGGCGGCCAAGAGAGTCGGCGACGAAGATGAGGAAGACAATGACGGCAATGAGCTTCACGAGACCGTAGATACCTGTATTGCAGCTGATTAGCAAGAAGAAAAAGGCATAAAACTGCTGAGCTCAACACATACCTGTGGCAAAGAGCTCGTTCGACTCGCCCCTGACACCGAGACTGTTGAAGATCATGGGCGCGTAGTAGTTGATCGCGTTCGTGCCTGATAGGTCTCAATCAGCCTGAACACTAGAAAAGGTTGTACTCGAACATACCGGTCATTTGCTGGAAGAACATGAGAAGGATACTGATGATGGCGCGGCGTCTGTTGGCGGGAATCGTCCACATCTCGCGCTGCAGAGACCACCAGGTTGTGCCGTCAAGAAGAAGGTTCTCTTCCTCGATCGAAGCCTTGATGGCGGCGAACTCATTGGCGACGTAGGGGTGAGTGGGGGGGAGGGCGCGGATCGTGGACAGAACCGACATGGCCTCTTCCCAACGATCCTGTTTGGCGAGATGGCGAGGACTTTCATTGCAAAGCCACATGCTGATCATCAAAAGCAGAGGAGGGATCGCTTGGAAGACCAGTGGGATGAGGAAACGAGCCTGACCAGAAATGTGCTGGATGCAGCCATAGTTGATCCAGTAAGCCAAAAAGATGCCGAAAACGATGAAGAGCTGGTAGATGCCGGTAAGACCACCACGAATAGCACGAGGAGCGTTCTCGGCAACGTAGAGAGGGTTGACCATGGACGCAAAGCCAGTACCGAAGCCAGAAACGAACCTGCAATTGTTAGTACTGTTACTCGCCTAGGACCGCCACCACAATCTAGAGTCCTGCCTTCTTACCTGCCAATGTACATGGGTGCGAGATGACCGGAAGCCGCAGCCTGCAGAATCACACCAATGAGAGAGATACCACCGGCACCCCAGATGAGGACGGGTCGGCGGCCGAAGCGGTCAGCAGCGTGAGCCGCGAGAAGGGCGCCAAGGAAACATCCGGCCTGGAGCGTGCTGACAATGTTGGCACTCAAGTTGGCGCGCTGGTTATCAGTGGCGTACTCGGGGCTCAGTCGGTACAGGCTGCAGGGTGCATGTGTAAGCTTGTGGCCATTGACTCAACAGCTCAGGAGACAACCTACTCCTGGAACTCGGGCATTCTCAAAACACCACCAATGGCACCGGTGTCGACTCCAAAAATCAAGCCGCCGAAACAAGCCTGCAGTGGGGTCAGCCTAGAGAGCGAGGATACGTCTGTAGCTAGCCGGTGTTCAGACAAAGCACACCCGGCGGCAGCACACAACCGACGGCTCTGTGTCATCTGCGCTCCCGCTCCGTCTGCTCGTCTACCACACCGCAGCAGAGAATGATTTCCGAACACATACCGAGCAAGCAAGAGCAAAAGCCCTCCATCCGTAAATCTCGGGGGGGTCCTCTTTCATGGCGTCATTCCTGACGATCTTCTGCATGAGACCCATGATGGCGGCTCGAGGTGTTCGTGCAACCGCGATGAAAGTCGACCAGGTGTTTCAAAGCTCAGATAATGCAGCGTAATGAGTTGGTCAAGCTGTTGGGATACTGCGGGTACAGGATCTGACGAGGCATGGTATCGAAAACATGACACACAATTCGGTCGGCTGTCGCCCTTTATACCCGCCGATAATGCTACGTTGTCTGACAGTCTGTGGACAACAGTTGGGGATAAAAGCAATGCCGATCCCACCACTTGAGCCAGCAAATGGGTTGTCCACGCGAAATTCAGTCCATGGGTAATGCGGCGCAAGCGTGAGAAATGGAGTCGCTGGGTGCATGGTCAAGCATTGGCATGCATTGGCAAACGAGCTTGGCTGTTGAGCACCACGGTGCTAGGTGGGCTCCAGGCATTTTTAGGTCGCGAGCCAAGATCAAACAAGAAATATCAATGGTGGAGAGCCCCCATGGGGTACTCACGCCCAGCATTACTGTTTCTCCAGCCAAGAGCCCAAGATGGTTGAATTATCCTCCACTAATCAGACCACGCCGTCGTCGTCGTCGGTCTTGGGATATTCGCACCTCCGCGATTGAGCCGC